GATCTCCCTGCAGCAACGAGACCCAGCGCCCGACATTCCGCCCCACAGTACTGGGTCGTGACCTGTAGTCTGAAAACCACTGAGCTAAAGCAGGGGTGGGGAACCCAAGACCCAGAGGCCAAATGCGGTCCATGGGGCTAGCCTGGATCCATTCCTCGGGCTCAGGGCTCCTCCCCCCAAGATTGGGGAGCCAGCACTCCAGCCCCCGCTGTCCCCCTCCTGACTGATTTTTCTGTGGGTCAGTGGAGTACTGGGTCGTGACCTGTAGTCTGAAAACCACTGAGCTAAAGCAGGGGTGGGGAACCCAAGACCCAGAGGCCAAATGCGGTCCATGGGGCTAGCCTGGATCCATTCCTCGGGCTCAGGGCTCCTCCCCCCAAGATTGGGGAGCCAGCACTCCAGCCCCCGCTGTCCCCCTCCTGACTGATTTTTCTGTGGGTCAGTGGCCTCCTGCCCAAAAAAGGTTCCCGGTTCCTAGGCTACAGGACCCAGCCCCGTGGGAAGCACTACTGTACAAGGGAACTTTGGACTCCCAAAGGCAGCTAGAATGAGGAAGGCACAAAGATGCCAATGCAGCTGGAACTTTGCATCCAGGGACAGGGAATTTAAACCCTGTTACACTAAGTGGCCATAGTCGCCCTGCTCATTCTGTGCCACAGCTTTGGTAGGGGCCTTGGCTCTGCAGGGCTCTGCCCTGTCCGGTGATATAGAGGGGACCTCTGAACCTGCCACTGTGCAGCTACACAAACATTATTTGAAGTCTTGCTAATGCCAGAAGACTAGACACTGATACCGAACAAACCAGCACCCAGGGGATCAATACAAGCATGGGACTGCATGGCCACGGCAGGCCGAGGGGGTCAGAATGTTTTTTTCTTTTGTTCTAAGTTAATGCCAGGAGGTTATATTCAGTCCACAGACGCAAGGTGAATCTAAATTAGATGGACCTTCAGACAGGATGAGAGCTATCCAGGTGCACACACAGTGGTGGTGGTCGGGGTGTGGGGATGTAATCAGGGAAGCAGTAGTAAGTCAATACAAAGCACTTTGCTAATTTATCTTTCCCAAATAATTGGGGGGAATCATTTATTCCATCCGCACCGAGCAAATGCTGGGATGACCCCTTGCCCTAGTTCTGGGAAGCCTGGCACTCTGAAAGAAAGAACTGGTTTGGTTTTAGGCCTGTGCGTTCTAAAGTGTAGCCAAGGGCTGGGGAAGAAATGATATTTCCCCAGCGTTAATGTATGTTATCCCTGTGCTGACTGTACCTAAATGACCCAACACTCAGCTCTAACGCCCCAGCCATGGGCTAGGCTCAGCACGCGGCTTATTCAGGAAATCAAAACAAGTCATGTCAGGCTTTGGCCTTCCCAAACTCCAACGTCGCTTTGCCCGTGATGACTGCCGCAGTGCTGCCAATCATTGTGTTGACCCAGGGGCTGCTTATCACGGACTTGCCTTGGGCTTGATCTGGCAGGGCACTAAGGGTACAGCTACACTGTGGGGTTTTTCTGGGATACCTCATTTAGATGGGGTCAAATGGCAGAAAAGCCTCTTCCAGAAAATTGATCAGAAAATGCTATGCAAAATGTGGAGCCCAATTTGGGTAGCTTTTTCTGAAAAGAAACCTACAGGCTGTGTCTAGACTGGCCAGTTTTTCCAGAAAATCAGCCACTTTTCTGGAAAAACTTGCCAGCTGTCTACACTGCCC